TCTATCTATCTATCTATCTATCTATTTATCTATCTATCTATCTATCTATCGATCTATCTATCTGTCTATCTATCTATCTCTTTCTCTCTCTGCTGCTGCCCACATCCGCGCGTAACAATACAATACATACATGCACATATATAAAAGAGAACAAAAGGCAATGCTTAGCTTATTCAACTTTATGAAGAATGTTGATGTTTTTCATGAATAAAATAGAGGAGGTATCAAAATAATCTGACTGCATGTCACTCACAGCAGTGCACCATCACAGCAGCATATTCTAAGGACAATACCTTTGTAAAAAGTAAGGCTTTTTGATAAAAGGCCTTTACTGGACAAACAGCGAAACAACATAGCAAGTAAAATCGTTGTCGTATACATTCAATCGTGGAAGAGAATGAGGATTACCATACAAATAAAAAAAAACACAGTCAAGTTTGCATTACGTAGTTTTAAACATACTTATTAGAAGATTCATTCAGTCAATGGAGTGGGATGCTATCACAATATTGCTTGAAGGTCAAATAAATAAAAGAATGTGGTGCATTCGTTACAGATGAGGTTGTGATTAACATAACATACTGACAGACAGTTGCACTTTAATGCCCGTGATCTTGTTTTATATTGATGCCACGAGTAGATTACAATGACTGTACATAGTAACCTAAATGAGTTGTTTCTAAGGGTTTGCGAGTCCGTTATTTTTTACTCGAGTCCGAGTCCGAGTGATTATGAAATACTCGAGTGAGTACTCGAGTACTCGGATCCTGAGCATGGTTTATTGTATTATTCGCTGATGTCTAAAACACATTTAACCTATTCATTAATAATAACAAAGGCAATAATAAATTCGAATAACACTTTGAAGTTTTTAGAAACGTAACAAAGATATATACGAAAATTACTGAGATGATTTGAATAGAGCACTAAGAAAAAGGAGAAAAAATACAAATAAATGCAAAACAGCAACAAACAAAAACGATGTAAATTGCTAAGTCTTTTCTTCTTCTAGGAGTAAAAAAGCACATACTTGAGTATTCGGAGGTTTTTGGACTCGAAATGATATAAAAACGACTCAAAACGAGTACTCCCACGGACTAAATACTCGAGTGGAATCGAGTACTCTCTCACCCCTAGTTGTTAGTACTATAATAATAATTCATTGGCAATAAACGAGATCAGTAAAATGTTTATGATTCATTCATTTCATTCATTATACATTGACCAGTATCGATGCTCATGGCTGTCATTGCGGTTGCGTGGTTAAAGTTAAACGTCAGTAATGTCATATATAATAAATAATGTTGCATCAAAAGTAAAAAATAGATAAAGACGAACAAAGACGCAAACAAAGGCACAATGGGGTCAAAGTCTAGTAACGACCATCGTAGTATCCAAGAAGGGCCACCTTTGCTGCGCTTCTGGTTACAATCGAGGACAAGATATGAAAGTGCAGGGTTCAAATCTGAGAATAGTCCTCGTTCTTCTCATTATTATTCTTTCCAAAGAGGTACAAACATAGCATATTTTCCCCGCCATCCAACTCTACCTTCACCATCTCAGCATCTAGCACTACTAGCAGTCAGGGCTTTTATGCTGCTTTTTTTTGGGGGGGGGGGATTTGGGTTTGGGGGTTGCTTTTTTTGGAGGGGGGTGTTTTGTTTTTGTTTGTTGTTGGTTTTTCTTCTTACTTTAGTTTAAAAGTAGAGGTATTACTGGTCTGCTGGGGAGAGACGTCCAATGCTTTTCTCCGACGGAGACCGACTAGACAGGAGGGGAGGCAAATGCCCTACTTTGCTTGACTGGATTTCATGACTGGCATAGGCTATCGGAGAGTATTTAGGGGCCTATAGTCGCAGATGAAATCAAGGATGCCGTGTGTCAAAACACTAAAGCTGTTACGGTAGTTTCGTAAAATGCGTCACAATACTGGGAACGTTAAAATGCATGTATGTAAGTATGTGTGTACGTGCGTGCGAGTGTTTTATGTGGGGGTGGGGGTGTGTGAGAGAAAGAGATAGAGAGAGGGAAAAAGAGGGGGTGCGTAATCCTATACACACTCACGCTGCCATTTTCAATTTTTTTTTTTCAAATCATGTTTTGTCTTACATAACAAAAGCAACATTTCTTTCAAACTTAACGACAATCAAGAGATTACTAAATACTTGATGCATGGGTCTCGTTCTCTCAGTTGTTGACCTTGACACAATGTACGAATGTTGAGAAGAAAGATGGGTATAACTTTGATTCAAAATGCTCACATGAAAGACGGAAAATGCGCACAAACCCTTCGCTACATTGGCACTCAACTGGTTACCAACAGCTTTGTATTGCACACATTGTTAGGATTTTTTTGTATTGGAAAATTATAAACAATAAAATAATTTATCTTCACGACGACAGCAACTCAACAGCATGATGACCAAAACCTTATGGGATAATGACTGTAACAAATCCGAAGAGGGGAAAAAAAAAAACTAACTAAAGAATAGAGCACGAGCTCGATTCTGCTGTTCCTCCCCTGAGAACGGACGCAATCGCTTCGTTGATGAGTTTGCGAACATTTTTCTCCACTTCCGGCGAAGTCTCGATGTAGCAGGCAGCCCCGACGCGTTTGGCGGCGGACATTCCTTCAGCTGTACTAACCGGATGCTGGTCGTTAGAGGATAACATCTGCACGATCTCGTCCACGCACCTGTACGGAAATGGCAAACATGAGCTTATTTACATAAGAGGTTTATAACGTCGTCTGCCATGCGTGAGTGAAGTAATACAGAACTGAAGTGGAAGGGAAGAAAATTATATGGTTGCACTTAATAGTCAGTACCCAGGGCAGACATTTTGGATAAATTTCTTAAAATAGTATGGTTTGACCCATTTGATTTATTTGAGGGAAGCCAGATTTTCAGTCATAGGGTCTAGATGGGAAGTTGGTTGATAATGTGTGTGTGTGTGTGTGTGTGTGTGTGTGTGTGTGTGTGTGTGTGTGTGTGTGTAT